TAGATAAGATTAATATTTATCATGTAAATTATAATATATCAATACTTTATTCACATAAATATTATATAAATAAACATTAAATTTGTTAAAAAAAGAAGTTAAATTATTTAAATTGTTAATTTAAGAACTTATTTATTTTAAAAAATTTGAAAACTTAATTAAAAATTTAAATAAGTTATAAATTTAATATAAAGTTTTACCCAACTGAAACGGAGAATTTATTTAGTCATGTGGATATTATTCTAACTTTGTTGCCTGTATCAGTTATATGATTGTACTGCGCCAAAGACTTTGACTTGTAGATATGAGAAGTTGGCTTTGTAAGTAATTTATAAATGTGTTCATAAGAAGGAAAACGGTAAAAATGTAATTTAAAACGTGCAAAGTAAATCAAATCTTTTAAGCATGAGGGTATTGGAGAGTATGTTTGGGTTAATTTGTAAAAGTGTTTATTTTTTTGTATTATTTATGAGTGATGAGTTTAAATATTTATTTATTTTTTTTGTAAAGTTATTTTTAGAGATAAAAAAAATAAATAAAAAGAGAGTTTATGAAAAGTTTGAATTTAAAATTTTTAAATTTTTACTGTTTTAAATCTTTTTAATGTTAAAAAAATATTTAAAAATATAAATTTTTTTTTAAAAAATTTAAACTTATAAAACATAAATAATATCAAAAAGTTAAAGCACTTAAAAACTAAACTATTGTAAAAAAGGACAATTGTGTTTTTTGAGGATTTGAACTTGTGTTGATGCCAGTATGATGGGTCTATTTTAAGTTTTTTGTCAAGTTTAAATTACTAAAATTTGAACTCAATTTGTAAGCTCTATTAAGTATGAGTTTAAATTAAATAAAAGTTATATTTTTAAATATTTGATATATAATTAATTTTCAATACAATTAAATGAGTTGAGTGGAGTTTAATTTATAATTTGAATTTAATTCTACTTGAATTTTTTTATTGAGTGTTCAACTTAAACTTGAACTCAGGTCAAGTCAGGTTCTCACTCAAATTTTACTTGAGGGGCGAATTCATTTACAGCCGTAATCACATACTGTCTTTGTAGTCTTAATGAGTACAAGAAGAATGTTGGAACTGCAAAAATAACAAAGGTTGAGGACCAACTTATACTTTGAGCTAAAGATTACGGACCCAAGAAAGCAATTTGCCTTGGGCGGAGATAAAAAAACACATGTATTGGAATTCATCACAATTCACGTGCTAAAATATAATTGAAGTTAAAGCTGTCACTGACCGTAAACGTGATAATTGTCCTTGGGTGTGAGGCGGCAGGCAAATTTGAAGAAGTTTGCAAGGCAGCGTAATTTGCATCATTCTTCTTCTTCTTCTTTTTCTTCTTCTTCTTCTTCTTCTTCTTCTTTTTTTTTTTTTTTTTTTAACGAGGGTGATGATTAAAAAATTAATTTGAATTAATTGTTAATAATTAAAGATTTAATTTTTAAATTAGATGAATATTTCACCTCTTCAAATAAGGTGCACGTCATTAAGTTACTTTTTGATAAAATTTATGATGATAATAAAATTTAAAAGTCTAATTACTTTCACCCAAATACATAAAATTTGAGACCAAATCATTGAATCTAATGGCCTAATTGGCGATTTGCATCATTCGTCACCACTAAAGAAATTTGTAATGTAATTTGAAATCCGATCTGACAAATACACAGCAACAAGTCTATCTTTTCAATTATATTTTACTGTTTGTTTGATATAAGTATTAAGTTAAAAGATGTTCAGACACACATGATGTACCAGACACCCCCATAAAATAAAAGACAATAAAAAAAAAAAAGACACCCCATTGAGGTTCTCGATAATTTGCAGTACTGACATGACTTTAATAAGCTCTGGACTAGTGGTATAAACTTAAGAGATTTGAAATTTGCTTTCGCGTCTACACCCTGACCGTACCAATATAGTTGATCCTTCAAGGCAATTTCTGAGAAAATTCCTATGAGGTGTATCTCTTCTACTTTTGCTTCCATTAAGATATTAGTAAAAATATTCTAATTAAATCTATTATATGGGTATTAAGATTTTTCAAAAAATTTATAATATTTTAAAATAATAATATGTTAATATTTTACCTATGTAA